AAATTATTATGATTTATATGGCCTTTGGGAATGCGCACTAAAACACACACTCTCCCGAGAGGGGCCAGAGGGGGACAGAGCGGCCAGAATGGCGAATGGGGAGCGGCAACAATCGGCGAGTGTCGCACAAAGGACTTGGCCAGGATACGTAGTATACATTCAGGCGAGTCGTCGCAGTGGCCGCAAAACTTTTGCCCGCTGCGACAAAATAGAAAACTTTCTTGGCATAATTCTTTCTATTTTCCTCTGGCCTGTCGTCGTATTGCCATTGCTCTGGCTGTTGCCTTTGCCACTGAAGTTCCCTCCGGCGTCGCACTTGCCATCTTTCGAAATTAGGTTAACACTGACGAATTAAGGACATTAGCGTCATAAAGAAATAAGTAATGAAAAGAGCAGCCAGTTGAGCATTTCTGCCGAGTGCGTATAGCGTATAGAGCCAGAAACAACAAGAAAACAAAACTTGAAAACTTTTCCACCTCCTCGCTTCAACTGCAGGATTCGTTTGAAAGGCTTCGCAGGCCTCCTCCCATTTTGCCTTGGACAATGCGAAATACTTGTGACAAGAGGCCCAATTGAGAGAAAACCTTACATTACATTTAAACACTTGGTAAAACAACAAGATTGCCAAAGAAATTATTACGAGGGCAGAGAACTTCATGTGGATATTAGAGCTTTAAATGTTTTCGGTTGAAAAGCCGATTATTAAACTTAATTTATTTAATTTTATATATATATATATATGTTGTGTAATGGAATGGAAATTTACTTTATTTAAAATTCCATGAAATAAAATTATTAATATAATTCTTAGAAGTGCTTTATTATTCTTTAAAATCATCAACTTAAATTTTGAAGCTTATGAGTTCAATACATTAACTCTATGATTTTAATTGAATTTGTTTTCATTTTAATTTTGACAATTGCTTAAATTGTTCTCTGAATTCAATTTATATTTCGAACATTTTAATTAAAGCCAAAACATGCCAGATTTACTTAATACATTAACATTACTGAGGCAGAAAAGTGTTTATTTTGCACGGCACATTGTTTGTTGTTGACAAAATGGCAAAAGGTTAGTGGAATTTCACTTAAATGAACAAGGAAATAGCGCTTATATATTGTGCGATACTTGTGTTATTTAATTACATGAATAGACCATATGCTCAAATAATTCCAATATGTTTTCGCTCGTGTTTCTTATCAGCTTTTAACCAAATATTCCCACTCTTACGCATATTTTTCAGCTAATAAAATATTGATTTATTAAATTATGCCCCCGACAACGGCAGCGAGCGAGTCGCTTGTCAATATTTTGCAAATTTGTGTTCCCATCAAGCCGGAGCCCTAGAGCCCCGAGTCCTGAGCCCTTTCGCCAGGATGCTTCCCAAGCCTCTGTCCACAGGCACACCCGCACACACGCACACACGCTGGGCTTATACTTGCCACAGGCACTTGCCACGCCCCTCTGCCTGTGCCACACGATCTTCTGTTGGCCTTCGCAAAGTGCTTTTTAAAATCCCGCCCGGAGCATTTTGTTTGTTTGCATCATTGGCAGCTGTTGGTGGCCAGCTCCTGATTCGGGCGGGCGGGAATCGGGGGTCCTTCCAGTAAAACCGCACAACTTTAAATTTGCCGTTCACCCTTTTCCCTTGCAGGCTTTGTTTGTCCCGCCCAATAAAGCATCTTTGACGTATAACCACCGCCCACGCTCAATTCCATACCCTTGGTCCATAGTCCTTGGGCCGATAAAAATATGAGCGGAAGCTTTACGGCTCAGCCTCAACCTCAAGTCCAGAGTTGTCCCTTGTTTCACACAGAAATAAAAAAGCGGTGTGAAATGCGGGTCTCTCAAATCTGATTTCTTATTCCGGAAGGACACTTCGAGAGCCTAAATATCTGTATATTATTATCTAAATCATAGGGTTATATAATAGAAAAAACTATGCCTCAAGGACATCAAGTTTTAAAGAACGATTTATATATATATAGGCAGGGAAATTAGATACGATATCCAACGCGAATATACGTTATGTCATTGGTATATAAATATAATTAGTTATAAGAGATATGATGGTTTAAATGATTTAATATTCTGAAAGCTCAAAAATTTTAAAATTAAATTGAAATGTTTTTATTTACATAAAAATGAGACTTTTTAGAAGAAAATTAATTATATAAATTTTATAATTCATCCCTTTTTGTTCTCTGTGCATCCACTCGGCTTTTCTCACTCGTTGTGGCACTCCATTCCAGCAACTGTCTTTTACACTGTTTATTGATGCTTTTGTTGTAGTTTTCTACTGCCGCTGTCACAGACATTTTCTGACGTCTATTATGCCTTTTTATAGAAAATTTTCTTGGGCTCTGGAAACAGCAACAACTTTCCGGGAGGGAAAAAGGAAAAGCCCAGCAAAGACAGAGGGGGTGTTGGGGCGTGCTGGTCTTAGTTTACAACACTGTCTTGCGGTTTCTGCAAGCAAAATGGTTATGCTAAAATTTTCCATTCCCGTTTCTTTTTTTATTTTTTGTTTGTGGACATTTTGGGTAACTGTTTAAAAGTTTATAACAGCCTTTCTCGACAAGGGCTTAGTAATGGCTTTTGTTTTATATTGAATATAAAATTAATAGATCACAAAATAAGTTATTACTAAAAGTAGAAGAATTGTAGCTTTAAGAGGTTAAAGAAAAACTAAAAACAAGTAAAAGAAGTTGATAAAATTTAATTTTCTTTCAGATAGTACTTATTTTTTCACATTGAAAAACACACTAGTGCAAAGTTTATGAAGATCTGCAAAACCTACTGCCATTAAAAGTGCAATTTTGCACTCTTATACCGTAAGTCTTTAACCCAAATGCAGGCAAATATGGCTGCTCGCCATATACCTTGACATCCGTTCTACAGGATGCAGGATCCTTGCTCCTGGGAGCTTCATCTTCCCTGCTCCTGGCCACAAAACTGCAGTCGGGGAGAGACAAACTGCTATTATGGCACACGATAAAAGGCGAATGGTGGAGGGAACAAAAAATAAGAAATAAAAAATCGGAAGCCGAAAGCGGGCGCATAAAAATTGCATTAAAATTGCCACGCGGACATCCGCAATGGACCCCGAAATCCATTTTTTTGGGGGGGAAACACCGGGCTCAGGTTGGTCGCCCAAACGGAGGCGGAAGTGCAAAAGGAGACGGAAGTGCAAGTTGTGCAAGAACCACTACATCGAATTCTGGGGCGCAAAATTAAATGTTTCCGCATACAGAAGTCGCTACCGAAAAAGGGACAACAAATAAATGGAACTTGTGGCCATTTTCTAGTCGTTTGCCGGACGTCATTTTGACGGTTTATTGCATACGCTTCTGGCCGGGGTCCTTTCCAACTCCCAACTGACCAGGGTCGGAGATAGCAGTCCCACATCCAGTTCATGGCCTCTCCGGGTCGTGTCTAATTTGGCACATCATTTAGTGGCAGCAAATCCCCGTCCAAGTTGACTTGGTCACTTGTCACCTCGGCGGTGGTGCTGGCGCTGGCGCTTGACATCCATTAATCAATCAAGTGGGGCTTTTTCTTTTCCCCGGCATATTTCTCGGACTCGGTGGGAGGACCTCGACCTCAAATGCGTGCGCACACCGAGACAATTAGCGCCAAGTTTCCTGGCTTATGCGTTTCTTTGAAGTGTTTCCTGTTAATGAGAGACAACTTTTGGTTTCGGGTCAACTTGCTGGCTGTTTTTTAGGGGATTCCCCCACACAGAGGTGACGATAAGAGCGGATTCCTTGGTTCTTGAGGGTTATTTTTTGTGTAACTTTTTATTATTTTAGTTTGAGAAATCAAACATATTTTATAAAGACTTAATAATATTAATACTCTCAATTTCTTGTTTTTTTATAAACTTAATTTTTACATTAATTAAAAAACATTTATGTTTTCCAGTTAAAACAATGTGATAAAACTCATCTTCAACTATGGTCAACAACTTAATTTTGCTAGAACTTCTTTGTATCAGCTCGTCCTTAATGCCCCCCAGACAAAGTATCTGCTAAGCCCGCCCCCTGGAGCCGAACTCTGGACGCCTCTGACCTGGCTCGCCTCATCAACTCTCGCTTCATTAGCCGCACACTCTGAGCTTCCAATGCCAAAAGGTGAAAACAAAAAATCCCCTGCATACGTATACGTACGTACATATATTTTGGGTGGAGCTGGGGTCTGGACTGCTCCTACTTGTAGACAATACGGCAAAAGGACGAAGGAAGCGCTACGAGCTGAGCAGGTCAAAGTTACACAAAAGGAAAAGTTGCAAAAGAGCCAGTAATAATAACAACAAAAACCACAACATCGAGGAACAGGATCCGAGCTGGTTTCCCCTCAGCAGCAGCTGCTTCTGTTGCTCGTCCTGTTCCAGCCTGCGGCTGATTGATCTCGTGGGAAATTTTGCACAGTTGATGCAACCAACAGCAGCAGGGACAAAAGCAACAAAAAAAAGGAAGAAAAACCAAAAGTAAAATAAAACGTAAGTTTTTCCCCATTGCCACTTCCTTTGTTTCAGCTTTTTCGTTATATTTTTCTCTTCCAACTCGCTTCTCTCTTCGATGGCGCACACGAAAATTAACTTAATGTCACTTACACTTTAGTGCTTTGGGTTAATTTGGTTAGATTATTGTTAATATCCTTCGGGTGCTCTGAGACAGAGCGAGACTTTCGGACGTGTGTGTGTGTGTGTGAGAAAAAGAGAGCGAGAAGGAGTGTCGGAAACTCCGGTCGTAGAGGTTTTCCGCCAAAGATGGGGGCACATTAAGCGCTTAGGCAGTTCTAAAATTTTCCACATAAAAATGATGCATTGGACTCGGTCGCTACTTTAGGGATTGTCGGCCCGGCATGAAAGATTCATGGAAATAAACATATATTATGTAAAAAATAAATTATTTAAAGAAAAACCCCTAAAAAAAATGTAGATTCAATAAAACGCTCGTTTAGGTGTAAATGTTTTTATTATAATAGATTTGTTATATTATTATTTAAATTGTATTAGTTTTTCTCTGAGATATCGCAATTACTTTCTAGATTTCCTTGTCAATGAGTGGACTGAACCAGGGGAGTTATCGAAGCTGTGAAAATAAAATCGATTAGTACAGTTTTCAAAAATAAAATATATGTCTTACCAGCTTGGGTGGATTTTATGCACTTTGTTTATACTTATATGATTATGAAATATGTTAAGGAGGTGTGGGGATAAATGATGCTGCGAAAAATAAAACTAATTAGTAAATTTTTGTAAATATAAAATGGTTCCTTACCTTAACGTATTATTAAATACACTTTGTGAAAATTGGCATGGATTCATGTTAGAGGATGGTAGAATGAATCGGTTTTGGCGAGTAAAGATTTTGCTCACCCAGGCAACAAGTATACATTTTGAAAAGTGTCCTAGCTTTCTGCATAAGGAGGGTGCAGGAGAGATGCTGTTGAAAATATAACTAATTAGTAAATTTAAAAAAAGAATAAACTTCTGTGTCTTACTGGCTTGGTGTAGATCGTCCACATGTTTAAATGTATCGTGTAGACCTTGTTTTCACTTCTTAGAAAAAGAATGGCGTTCACTTTAAAAATTTTGACATACATTCACTCTGATTCGTTGTCTTATTCTTAAATATTAACTATTGGATAAATTATCACTTTTTCACTTTATGCTTAAACCTAGCCGAAAAAAATGTATTTATATAAAAATAAAAAAAACTTTTGTTTTCGTACTGAGCTAGGAGCTGTGCTCGCTCTAGAATTTTGATTCGAACTGAACTTTCCTGGCGGCGTTCGGAGTCAAGTAAAGTTTTGGGACAATTAAAAAATCCCAGACTACTTGGTTGTTTATTTAAAAATAAAAAAAAATTGAAAAGTTAAAGGATTTAAAAGTTAAGTATATAAAATATAACCTTCAATTAAAAAAAAAACATTTAAATTAAATAATTAAACTAAGTAAGACAACCCATTTCTTGTAATTTATAATATGATCTATGCAATAAGCCTTACAACTTTTTAAATAAGATTTAAAAACAATGGTCAAAGCACCCAAGGTTTAGCAAGAAAATTCTTCAAAGAAAAACATTCTTTGGAAAGACAGAATTAGCAAAAGCGGGAAATAAATTTAAACAATATTCATCGGCTTATAGGCACGTGTGGGCGCTAAAAACTTTCCGTGGGCAAAGAGCACCCTCCATATTCATAAGTCAATTGAAATTTATGACACAACACATGCCGCCGCCGCCCCACAGCCACCAGCGAAAATACTTTGTTTATCTCTGGAAAAATATTTTTGTGCATAGTATGTGGGGTCTAAGCACCCACCCCAATCCTGATTTTGTCTTGGCATAATAATTTACAAAGCATTTTACGCTTCGCTTCGCCTGCCATCTGCATTAGCCGCAAAGTCAGTTTCGCAAAGAATTTCGGAGCGAAGGAATAAATATGTTTGCATAATGTAAATATAAAGGAGCTGTCCTGGATCTATGGCCGCATTTTATTGCCTTTGAACGGGTCCCAGGTTGGAGTTCATGAGGTGCAAATGGAAGGTTGAGCGATGCAGAAAAATATTAGACGAACACTTGACAAATGGCTAAGAGCAAACTGTTTGAAGCAATTAGCCAAGACACGCGAAAGTGATCAAGTTGCCGAATGTCTCAAGATATTTCCATTAAAATTTGTTTAATTTCATGTAGGAATAAGATTTATCTTGGACTTAAAGATCAAGAGAATTCTCTTCTTAGGTGGAAACGTAGGTGTAAGACTTCAGAAACCAATTAACGATTATAATTTTAAAACTCCTTACAGCCTGAGCATTCAAAATGCACATTTCATTTTCTTTTGCTTCCCGCGACGCAACAATAAAAATCGCGTGATTTTATATGTATATTTTTATGACAGCCACAGGTACGTCCTAGCAGGATTTCAGCTCCCTGCTTCGTCCTTTCCACGAATTACGCTTTCATTTGTATTCAGAGATGCGGCGCCCTTCTATGAGATTCTCATAATTACATTAAGCATATTAAAGCTCGCTGTCTGAGTCGGCTCACCCCAGCCACAGCCACAGCCCCAACGAGTCCTTCCCCGAAACGCGGCTTCCCCCTTGCTCTGGGCCAACTAATAACGTGTCATAAAAGATTTTCAGTGCTTTAAGTATGTGTTCGTAAAGCGAAACACATTCGAGGCACCTTAAAACACTGTGTGGGCGGGGGCTGGGTGTGAAGCCGATGGCTTACACTAATTCCTTAACTCTACACCCAAGCGGTAAACGCATAATTCCCAATTAGCGACAATTAATTGAACCTCGCCCAGCGATTTACCTAACGTTTGAGAGCGCAAAACTGGTCTATACGGATTTTAATTAGATGTATTTATTTAAAGCTAACTTACTTGCAACGGAATGCTTTCGAAATACCTATGCACTATGTCATATAGTCAGACAATTCAATCTTGTAAAAGGAAGTCCCTAAACAGACATATCCATAATAAATAACACATTTAGGTGTAAGTGTATTTTTATTATAATAAAGTTGTTATATTATTTGATTTGACTAAACTATTGCCTTCCAAGTATCGCCCTCCATCAATTGTTTGTTTACACCCTTTGCTGTCAGGTGTTTAAATCCCTCGAATAAGTTGATGCTGAAATGAGATATTTTAATATTTTTGAGAAACAGAAAGAGTTATATTTCTTACGCTGCCCGAGTGTTTCATCTAAATCTCCATTGGTGTCTTCCTTTATGGTATTGATTGTGTTAAAGGTTCTGAACAAATTTTCCATGGGTAATTTTGAGTTATTCATCTAAAAGACTATTTCTTAGCACTAGCATCTGGAAAGAAAAAACTATACGAACCTCGCTAACCTCGTGTATAGAATAGGGCCACTTCAGGTTCCAAACCATTTTGTATTGTAGATATATAATAACTTTTTCACTTTACGCTTAAACCTAGCCGAAAGAAGGTACATATTTATATAAAAATAAAAACTTATTTTTTTGTACTGAGCTAAGAGCTATGCTCGCTCTGGAATTTTGATTCGAACAGGATATTCCAGAGTCAAGTAGAGTTTTCTGGGTCGAGTTAAAATCCCTCCAAAAAGTGGACGCTGAAATGAGATTCAGTTAAGGTATTTCTAAGAAAAAAAAAGGAGCTATATTTTTACGCTGGCCGAGTCTTTCGTCTGAATCTCCATTTGTGTCTTGCTTTATGGTATCGATTCTGTTAAAGTTTCTGAACAAATTTTGTATTGTAGATATATAATAACTTTTTCACTTTATGCTTAAACCTAGCCGAAAAAAGGTTTTTATATAAAAATAAGAACTTTTGTTTTTGTACTGAGCTATGCTCGCTCTGGAATTTGGAATTGAACTAAATTTTACTGGTATCGTTCGTAGTAAGGTCGAGTTTTTGAACAATTAAAAAAATCCTGGACTACTTGATTGGTTATATTAGCCTTCGGATTTATTATTAATATTTACAAAAAATTCTATCTCCTATTGCATTCATACACTATGAAGACGTCTTTTTTGTTTTGCATCATTTTCATTATTATTTAGGCACTTTTATATTTAGAGAAGATATTTTAATATAATATTTAAAAAGCAGGTTGAAATAGAAGTTGAATTCTTTATTCAGTAACTCATCTTAAAATGATTTAAAAAAGTAAGCCAAGTATGCAAGTTGTACTTTGCTCTTCTTTAAGTCATTACAATAATTTCCCACTATTTTAACATTTTTGGGACTTTGTAATATATATAAAGAAATACCCAGATTAACAGTAGTATATAATAGCCAACAATTTTTATTTTCCATATTTTTAGTTTTTTTAGAAGAATTTTTATTTATTTTTTTTCATTAAATATATTATTAGCGAATACTTTATGAAAACTTCTGAAGTAATAATGCTATTAGCTTAAAAATATCCTGCCCGTTAAATATCCCAGCGAAGAAATAGAGAGAGAATTACAGACCCTTCGGCACCTTCGTTAAGTTGTGAGCGAAAGAGTCGCTCCCCCGAGAGAGAGAGAGAGAGAGAGTGCGAAAGGACGGCCGAGTGGCCACGAGCGAATGTCCTTTTTGGGGCGATGCTGGCGACGATGACGAGAAAAATCAGCAGTTTCATTGATAACGCGCAACGAATTGGATCTCAGACGAACAGCGGCCACGACTACACTGTTAAAAACAAGTCGTGAAAGCGGCTGCAAAAGCACACAAGGAGACCATTCCACATCTCACGTTGAGGTTTGCTTTGCAGCACACACTGCGTCTGAGTGATATTAATATAACGTATGAGTATAATCATCTTCCATTCCGCCGACTTGATTCGCTCGGTTCTCGCAGCGCGTGTGCTTAATTATATCGCCGAATGCGGAGGATTATCCCCTTTTGCAATAATAACAAAAACAGGAAATCAAATTAAAGACCCGCAATATTAATTTCTTGGTAACAATTCAACTGTGCGTGCAATAACAGAAGAAAACAATAAACACAAATGCCCAATCATTGAAAACTTTAATTAAATACAACATAAAACCCAAGTGACTGCAAATAAAATACAAAGAGTAAGTAGTAAAAAGCTCTTAAAGCATTTTAACTTGCTCAATGGAGCTTTAGATTAACTATTTATGTTTAATAAGTCATCAAAAAATATTATTCTTATAGTATCCCTCATCTTTTAAATATATTCCCAAAGGACATTAACTTTTTTCAGCTTTTCAATTAAATTCCTATTATAATTTAATTAAACTGCGAGCACCCACAAAATGGCCACTAATTAGTTTGGCCTGCCCCGCCTTTTTGGAGACCTAAGTCAGTCCGTGACCTTCGCTTCAAAAAACCAAATAAAAATAAGCGGAACAGCAAAAAATTCCTGGCATTTCCTATATATAGGACAGAAAAATAAAAACAAAATAAGGGAAACGACCTAATTAAACTGTGTGGAAAGAGGGTGCGCTGAAACAGATTTTTGTTTTCTGGGTTTTTCATTTAAAGCGCCGACATTTTCATTTCAACCTTTTCAACAATTTTTTGCGACCCCCGTTGATTTATCTAAATACATGGGAAGGGCTATAAACACCTCCCACGCACCCTACTTTTTCCACAGCAAAGATATTTTATTTGTATTTTTTTTGTGCTCTCGAAGAAAAGTTCCACGTCGATTTTCCGAGGGACTGGGGGAGACTCTGCTCAGTGGTCGCCTGTCGTCCAGTTGGCGTCACATAAATTTATATATATGTATATATATTTTCCGCCAGCTTCCCATCGTCCACCCGGAAAATCCCGCCTCGGGAACTGACAGTGACTTAATGAGCTGCGGAAGTTAATGTGCAACTTGGCCCAGACTTGTTTCCATTTTGCTGGCAAATTTATTTGCATATTTGGGTTAATTCTGTTTCTTCGCAGCTTTTTTTTCTCCCTATGACTAGCATTATTCTTAGCTCTTGTTCGTTGTTATTCCGCTGTTTTTCTGACCTATTTTTCGCTTAATTAGCATGTTCTTATATTACCGTCTGGCCATAAACAATCACTTTTTTAGGTGTAGGTTTATTTTTATTAAATTAAAAATGTGTTTTTTATTAAATTGATGTATCGGCTAAGTAAGTTTCGGAAACGTATATACGTATTTGTAGGACGAAATGGACAAACACTCTCATCCTTCTTACATATCCTGTGTATATTTCATTTTCATTGGAGTTGAACTGAATATTCCGAGCAGTGTGTTCATAGGCAGGTCGATGTTTGGGGATGATTCAAAACACCCAGAATACTGTGTTTGCTTATTTAAAACAAAAAGTGAATACTCGTATCGTACTTCAGTCCCTTTAACCCCAACTGAGCCCAGGGAGCACACAGACCTTCTAGGAATCAGAGGGAATAAAACGGAATGTTGACTTCTGTGGCCTCACAATGGCCAAGCCACGCGCTTCCCATACGAGAATGGAAAGGAAAGGAATGTGTAAATACCACTCACACACAATCAATAGCAAAGATTTTTCTGCACACACGTTCCCGGACTCCTTAGCCAATTTTCTTTTATTCAGACGTATTTTCCCAGTCGCTTCTTTCATCTTATTACATTCGTGAAAAGTGCTGGGAGAAACTCTTCAGTGGAGCCCAGCGACACAATTGAGAGCCCCGCCAATCTGTGGGGAAAATTATATTCTGCACAGCTCTCTGGAAGCCCCAAAGCCTTCGACTTCGCCTATTTGTATGCCCAAGTTCATTAGCGTCACTTGGCAAATATTTACCGAGTTGGCAAATTGTGCTTCGCTTTTTGCTAAGGCGCTTCTTTTTGGCTGCAACAGCAAACATAATTAAATTTAATTTGTTGCCAATATTGAACCTACTCACATACCTTGTGTGTGCGGAATAAACACAAATACAGAATGGGTCAAAGAACGTCTGGCTTAAAAAGATCCATGAGCTGTCTTAGGGATAAGGTAAAAGCTTTGGAATATTAAACAAAAAAGTTTGAACGATGCCGACAAAGGTCTTGATTTTATTTCTTTCTGCTGCATTAGAAATCTCTAACATCTGCAGCAGGTTTTTTACAATACACACAAAAAAAAAGGAAAAGGATATCATCCTAGTACATAGTAAAGTACCCGAAAAAGTATACAAATTTTGTAAATTATACCGTACAAAATATACAGAGATGTAAATAAATTTACATATCGGCATATTGGGCTCCACAATTGCACGGCTCCAGCGGGCCGTAAATTTCCTCTAGGTTCTCCTTGACCTCATCCAGAAGGGCCTTAATGTCCTTCATTTTGAATATCGTCTTTGGCAGGACCATATTCCCGTCCGCATCATGCCACTTCTTCATGTCGTGGGCGATGCGCTTGAGGAAGGTGGTTGTGATATCTAACGCCTGTTTAATTGACTTTTCTGCAAGTATGTGAGAACTTACAGTCTAGTTTCTTGCAAAAATGTTCCTTAATTTGGCTTACCCCCATATTCATCGTCAAATTTGCGTCTAAACTGTACCTTCATGTCCATGTCGTGCTTTTGGCACACAAATGCACGAACCAAATTGGCATTGTCGCCGTTTTCAACCACTTGCACGGATTTGCGTCCTTCGCATAATCCTCGATCGTCAAATCCATGAAAGGGTACGAATGTATACACTTCGGACTTCTCGAAGGCAGTTCGCAAAGCATGGACTTCGGCCATTTTCTTCTGCATTCTGTAGCAGGAGAAGGCATTGTAAATGCGATAGTCTAATGTGGCCATTAGCTTGTCAATCGTTGCGCTGCACTTCCTGGACAATCGGGGGAGATTAGATCTTATTAGTATAGAGAAAGATCGTAGTCAATTAGCTTACGTGGGAAAATTATTCCAATAAAGTCCTGGTACCTGACCCTTGTGCTTCACCTCATGCAAGTGAACACCCAGGACACTGATGAGATACTCTGCCAGGGAGCTCTGCAGAGACCTGAGCTTGGTCAGATCGTTGACATGCTTCCGAGACCACCAGCCGCGGAAACTTGACTGAATAATGGAGGCACACCTATTGTGATACGCATTCACGACTCGCTGCAATTTGGCTTCGGCCAGCATAACCAGAATGCCTTCTGCCATGAAGCGGCGCCACCATTTCTGAATGATAATCGCAGCGCGCTCAAATTTCCGATTGCGAAAACGCACTAACCAGCCGCGGACATGTCGCTGAATAAGTTGCGCCGCCTTGAACTGTTTAAACTCCAAGATCAGTTGTTGTGTGCTGCAGAGCCCCATAGTCAAAATCAGGGATACAGAGTAGAAAGTGTAGCCTACTTACCGAGGCAAGTTCACCGCGAGAGTCGAGTCATCTGACCACTCCCCGGCTTCATCATCAATTGACCAATCGCCCAAAGTTGTGCTCGAATGGCTTAGGCAATAATAATAGAATATACTTTTTTCTAGTTAAAAATAAATTCTTACTCTGGGCTTGTGCGGGTTATCATCTTGTCTTGTTTTCTGTTTATGAGAAATGGAAATACTACTGGTTTCTCCATATTAAATCCGTAGAATATACTTGAAAGCCAAGTCAAGGCCAATTAGATGTGAAAAACAAGTTCCTAGACATTCCTAGAGATAAGGCTTTCTACAATATTATATATGAAATTCACAATTTTAAAGAAATAGAATACAATCCTGTAACCTCGTGAGGTGCTAGTGAACCCGAAACTATCTATCATCCTTACGTTTTACGCCTCCAGAGAGCCAAAAGCTGCAGATAGTCGCACATTTAATACATTTTTAATGGCGATGCGACTCGCTCGATATTCCAGGGAAGGCGCAACTTTGCCACTCAATGCAATCATTTGCCAATGCACTTGGGCAGGACGAAGAGGGGCTCGTACTGAGAAATGCGGAAATCAAAAGTTAAAATAAACTTCGCTGTCCTTGTCGCCGTTCGCTGCTGGCTTTGTTGTCCTTTTTTCGGGTGCCTGCCAGGGAGCTCCTCCTTATAAAGTTCCAGGATATCCGGTTGTTGTCTTCGGTGCTCATTTTTCGTCCTCCCTCACCAGAGCGCCGTTGAGCGCACCCGCCTCTGGTCCTTGTCTCGTTTAATGTTTCATTTATTTGTATTTTTGTGCTGGGGCTTGGAGCAAGGAGCAAGGAGCAAGGCAGCACAGAGGAGTCAAGGCGGGAGGGTACTGAGGCTGCAAGGACTACGAACTGGGACCGGGTATTGCATTGTACTGGGTCGCTGTTTTCACTATTTGACGCTTGTTTACTCATTTCCGGTGGCTGCCTGCATTGTGTCCCGTCCGAAGGACATTGCCTTGCACTGCGGCTCTGTCGTTCGTCTGGGAAAACTGAAGCACTTTGTAGCTTCCATTACGAAAATACTTTAACGTTGACTTGACTTGGCAGCCGAGTGTTCTTTCATATTAAACAAGAGTAAAGAGTCCTTCTGATGTGAGAGTTATGCAATGGGTGATAATGCAGCTCAGAAATATGATCAGGTATCTTTCGATTATATTGATATTAAGAAAAGAAACTAAGATCATTTTTGATCACCTTAATTCTATAAGTTTAAATATCATTGGGCTGAGCAAATGACCTAATTTAATTGTCCACTTTAAATTGAATTTAATTGCAAATAATTTCAACCCCTTTAGATCGTCCTTTGCCAAAACTGAAGGCTAAACTTTCGCCGCCCTTCTGAACCACCAACCTCTCGCTCGCGGCGCACAAATAAAAACTTTGCCAATGCGGTTTGCGCTTCTAATTTGCCCCAAGGCAAAGGCAATCAATCAATATTCATCAAAATGCTATTTAATTTGAATGCAGCCGCCCTGCAACTTAACGTCGTCACGTCCATGTCCCCATCCTCGTCCTCGTCCTTCGCCAAATTTCAGACAAGAAGGCACACGCAACTTTCATTACTCGCGAACTCGGCGACAACGCGAACTTTGAAGTGTGGCAGTCGACATTGAGAGAAAGCCCTCACAGAAGGATGCACTGAAACAAATGGGGAACACATGCATTTTTACTTTGAAAAGGATTAGGAAACTATTTACCTAATAAAGAAAATATCATTAAATTTCTTGGCGTGATTAGAATATGTTTTAAGTATTATTTTATCTTGAAGTTAATTAATAACACAACTTACTTTCTCTGACTGTGAGCGAGTGTAAAATTGGGATCGGGGCTAAGAAAGGGTAAAGCGAACTAACGAACGTGCTGCAGTTTCCTAGTCTCGCTAAAATTTCAATTTTTCAGACTGCATCTTTGTCATCGAGTCGAGGCCGAGAAATTTCGGAAATTTTTTGACTGAATTTTTGCATTCTTGGTCTGTGGACTGCTAATTGCGGCAACTTGCTCACTCAACGTTTCCGTTGAGGAAAATGGCTCACGCATCTCAATCGCTCTTCGTTAACCTGATTTCGCAGAGAAACCAGGGGAACGAATGGAGAGGTAAACATTTACCAAACTGCATTTGTATGGCTCACACATATAACGAGGAAATAAAACATCAATTGCTCGCCCTTTTCCCTCAATTTCTCCAGGAGCATACTTTATTGGTTCATTGATGAGGCAAAAGGAAAAAAAGGGTCAGACGGGGTCTGACTTCCAAATTGGCAGCTGTAAATTTGAAGTTGCCCCCAGACAAGCCAAATATGTGGGACTACGTGTAACCGGCTGGCAGGGGTGAGCATTAAATTGAGGAGTTTCAGGTGAAAAACTTCTATGAAACTTAAGAAGGGAAGAAAAGAGTGAGAAATGTATGCGTACCTTTGTATATAAAATTATATACTGCAGTTGGAAAATAAATTATTCCGATTTAAGATCATTAAAGTGCGAGAGTAAAGCAATCTCTAATTCATTCTTGCAGGAAATTTAAAGAAAATGCTCTGGCGTTATATATTTTCTGACAGACTAATATAAGTTTTATTGGCCACACAGACTTTCTTATGGAAACTTTGCCACCCCCGCAAGCAGGGAGAAAAATAATTTTAAAGACCACAAAAAGCATGTCCTTGTGTGGAAAGTTAAGACCACTTAATGCACGCCAAAAGCAGTTTATATATATGTATATGCATGTATGTGTGCCTGCCTTCTATGTATGTATGTACATGGCTCATAAATACTTGTATACTCGCACATAGGGCCACTCGCACGCACACACTGGCAAACAGGGCCAACGACACATGTTTTGGGTTTTTGGGCCCCTTGAAGGCATCACTCGTGTGCCTGCTTGTGTATGCGGTGTTAATAATGCCTTTGATGTGTGTTAAGGACAGCTTCAGACTACGACAACCGAAATACATGGCCAACTAAGGCGGCTCCATGTCCTTTGTTGTCCCACTCGATCTACAGCTGCTTCTGCTGCTGCTGCTGAAGTCTGCAAAAATGTTGGCAAATGTAAACAGAATTTGCAAGCAAACAGAGTGCATGGGAATATTTCCCCCAAAAATTGAGCTGAAAGCATTAAATTTGGTCTCTCTGTTGAGTATAATTTTCATTTATCATTTAAAAGAAGCATGGGCTCTGTCAGATTGTGCAATCTCAAAGAGAAGTAGAAAATCTATATCTATCTAATTTACAAAAGAGAATTTATGCATTATAGAAAGACAATTTGTTTTCTCAGTTATTTCAAGGCCTGTTTCCTTGTTAAAATAAAATTCCCTGTAAGCCGCAAGTCATTTTCAGTGGTTAACGAACCCTGGCAGTCATTAAATCTTTTGAAGGCCTATTAGCGCATAAATAAAATGGCATTCGCGCATTACGCATACGCAGCGTTGACCAATTTTTTTATGGCTACATTGCGGTTGGTATTGCCTCACCTGAGCCTCAGCCGTTCCTTTCGGCCAAAGTGGCCAAGTGGCCAGTTGGCCATAACGGTCTGTCTCCGAAGGAGGCGAGGTAAGTCTATTAACGGCAATGACAAAGCACGCGAAAAGCTAATAGAGAGACAGTAAGCCGACGGTGGGCGGTGGCTAAGTAGTTTGGCAAGTCTATAAAAATGTATTAACTGCCGGACGACAGGAGGAGAAGGCGAAAATAAAGTCATAAAGCGAAGTGCCGTGCGCGGGGCAGTGCGGAGGAGTGTTCAGGAGTCCAGGCAGGACCCAGACACAATGGCCGTAATATGATAATCATTGCGTAGTCACTCACACACACAAAACACACTCGCACCCGCACTTAGGGGCGTGTGAAAAGTGGGCAAATGATGCAAAGCAGAAGCGGGGAGCCTTTCGAGGTTCCTTCAGGCGGCAGCCTAGGCCAACGGCAAATCCATTAAACCCTTATGATGTACGAGTACAAATAAAGTGAGTGAAAGCCGACAGACAATGGAAATGCCACGAGTGCTGGCAAGGAAAACACAAGGCATGGGTGGCAAGCGGCAAGCGGCAGGCGGCGTGGGAAATCGGTGGAAAACAAAAACATCTGGGCGCAAAAAAGGCGTGTCAAAACATATGCGAAAAAAAGAGCAGTAACCGCAGACCGAAGCGATGGGTGAAAGTAGGGAAAGCTGCCCGCAAAGTGAGCAAACACTTGAGTCAAGTGGTTAGCTGGTTAAAGCGCTCCTGTCAGGATGCGAGTGCAAATGGGGTGAGCGGCGCCACAACGTGTGGAGTGGATGACAGAGCGAATGTGAAAGTTCAGTCAAGTGCACCGTCGAAGAGGCCTAAAGGTTCTCGCCTCAAATTATAAACAGATGCTGGCAGGGAGATTAGCCGGATCAGGCGAAACAAGTGGGTAAATGGGCCAAGAGGCTCACATCTTGGAAAAGCCCACCAGAGTTACGTACAATTATGTCACATTTTATTACCAAACTAGGGATAAACATGAGAGAGAAGTAGCACACAAGTTGTGAAATACAACTCTTCTTGGAAGTATGGATAATTTCTTAACACGTTTTGCTTATGAGATTCTAAGCAGTAAGAATACTAAATAAAAATACTTTATGTTAAATCATATAGTTATTAAAATTAAATGTATATTCAGTAATATATTTATGTAGAAGAATCATTCTCATACAGTTTAAGGTAAAGAAGTACTCGAAAATGAGTCTTTTTTTAAAGCGTCAGAATATACAATTATAAATTTAAATGTGTATAATTGCAAATGAATATTTATTATAACCATAAAAAAAACAAATAGTGATATGAGAAAATCTTGATGCAATGTTTGTCAGTATAATTAATGGTTTTATTAATACATAATATAAAGTATTCGCTTTAATTTATTTTTACCAATCAATTCAAAGCAAAACAACATAGTTTCAAGTAAGAAAAGTAGACATTCAAACCTAATAAAATCTAATTGTATTATGTTCTTATAAAGTTTACTCAAGTTTCTGTAATACATTTACTATCTTCAACTTTCTACACCCTTGAAACAAAATTCACCAATTCAATGCCATGTTTTTTGGGGACAGCTTTTCCTTAGCCAGGCTTATCTCATATCCAGGCGAGCAGGTACAGAATATCAGAATAGCACCTGGCACCTAGGAAACGAGGACAGTGGAACAAATAAAGCGCAACGCTGTGCAACAGTGGCCAAGCAACTGTTCAGATTTCAATACCTGAGTGAATTTT